GTGTGTACGTATATAAAGTGCAGTTCGCATCCGACGGCGGGACACTGGATCGAGCGATGGGAGGCGCGGGCGGCGCGGGGCCGGGCCGGGGCCGGGCCGGGGCCGGGCGGCCGCAGTGCGCGCTCTGAGCGGCCGCTGTGCCCGCGCCCCCGGGGCCGCTGCGCTCCGCGCCCATGGCCGAGGTGGGCGGCTTTCTGGGCGCGCTGGACCCCGACCTGCACGGCTTCCCCCCCGCGCTGGGCGCCGGGCTGCCCCTCGCCGACTCCCCCGGCTTCCTCAACGAGCGCCTGGGGCAGATCGAGGGGCGGCTGCAGCGGGGTTCCCCCACCGACTTCGCTCACCTCAAGGGCATCCTGCGGCGGCGGCAGCTCTACTGCCGCACCGGCTTCCACCTGGAGATCTTCCCCAACGGCACGGTGCAGGGCACCCGGCAGGACCACAGCCGCTTCGGTAAGGGGCCGGGGGGTTCCCGGCCGGGCCGGGAGCAGGTGCCCCGCGCGCACAGCTAATTACCCCGCTAATATAAATCATCCCGGGACGGATATAATTGGCCTCCTAAACAAATGCTCTCACTCTCCAGCAATGCGGGAGTTTTTATTTCCAATTTCCTACTCTCCCGGCGCTCAGCCTTTCTGCAGGTGCACTAAAACGTGCCTTAGAAGAGGAGAAAAAAAGAAAAAGTAAAAAAAAAAAATATTTTTTTAGAAAAGGATGGTGACCAGGTCTGGCTGCACCTCTGAAGTTAGCAGTGAGGGAGGCAAAAGAACGAATGCCTCGTTGGAATTTCATGGAAATTCCTATGTTGGAAAAAGCAATTCCTCACTTTTTTGGTTGTTTCTTTTTTTCCCCTCCTCCTTCTTTTTGGCCTCCGCAGATATGCGTGAGCTGCTTTCTTTTACTTGCATGAATTCCATTAGAAGAGCGTCTCCCCAAAGTGGGCAGGGATCAGATGGCTGGATGGGTGTCAGGACCTGGGTTTGGGAAGGTTGTTGGAAAGGAAAGGGGGAAGCTTAAGGGTGCAGAAACACTTAGGGGACCTCGGAAAGAAAGGAGAAGATGGAACAATAGGCAGAGCACTGTGGATTTACCTTGTCACCCGGGATACAGCTGGAAGACTGCAGCGCCTGTATCAGTGGCACACAAGATCAGGGATCTCTAATGAGACTGTATGTAATCTTCAAAAAATGCATCCCAAGCCACAGGCGAAGGAGTACAGTCAGTTTGGGCACAACTAAGAGAAATTCCCGCTACTCCAACATCTAGTGCAGGTGTCTGTGTAAGCTATCAACAAGTCCCATGCCAGTGATCTCAGCTATGTTGTCAACAGGTTGCAAGACGTGCTCACAAGACTTTTTATAGTTTTCAAGTGATTTAACTCCTCCGTGAAAGGAATTTTTTTTTGCCTTTACTTTTTTGCAGCCAATCCTTTCCGATACTCCAGGAACTGTTGCCACTGCTATTGTTGGAGGTGTAAGGCAGGTTTTTGGAACAATTGGGAAAGCTTATCTCCGCACCACGCTTTCCATAAACACCAGGTGTGTGCATAGCATGTCCCTGCCTAAATCAACAAGAAAGTCATAACCCGCAGGTCAGAGTCAGGTACTGATTTGCTCGTGGGGTGAGCGTTTCTTTAATTATCTCCCGAAAACACCCATCTTTTAACCTTTCACGCTGGGTTTCCGCGTTAAAAGAACCGAGAGCGAACCCATTGCCTTTGATTGGGTTTAGTTCAACCTGCCACGTAGTGTTTCTATTCTGCTATCTAACCTTTGTACAACTGAACAGCCGGTTTCAAACAGCACCATTTGGCTCGGGTCCATTTTTTGTACAGATCGAGTAAAACAAGTGTATTTGCAAACTTGGAAAAACATGTTAAATGGGCTGAAACTTTTCATGAATTTTGTACACTGAAGCTGAAGTCACACAGTGCATTCAATAAATCGAAACATTGGCATTCCGTAAGTGTTTTAGCAGTCAGCATCCAGCTCTGTAAACTAGACCAGACTTCAGATATTATAGTTTTCTGCTTCAGGTTTTTCCCAGAGGCAGTGTAAAATAAATAGTTATTTGTTGTAATTGCAAGACAAAGCCCCAAAGGATTAGGCTGGAATCCTTGCATTCAGATAAAGTTGGACTAAGCCTCACTTGAGCAGAGACTCAAAGCAATAATATATTGGCACACAGTACTCACCATCTGCATTCAGTAGCCATGAATATTTAAATTCCAATGTTACTGGTATGGTTCATATTAGGATGTCATGTATCGATGCATTCCTAAATTTTGCATGCAGCATTCGGAAAGCAGTTACTTATAACAGAACTGGGCAGCCTGAGCAAGTCTGGGGACTCCAAAACTGTGGTGGGGGATGCAGAGCTAGACAAAGGGCTCAGGGGAGCAGTTTAAAGCTGCCTTAAATCTTGGGGCATCTGGGGAAATACTTAGAAATCCTGTATAATGGTTTTGTGGATCAAGGCCCGTGGCTGGAAGGTGCTCTCTGATCTCATGAGTGGATAATTAACGTGCTCCACGGATGGCTGCGACACCACAGCTGAGGCACGTGTCCAGCTGCAGGTGGGATGGAGGGTAGAACCAGACTTGGCGTCCCTGTCTCTTAACTTGGAAGGGATTCAGGAATAGACAGGCAGTATCTGCACCCTCCCATGCACAGCCATCCCAAAAGCTACCAGATGTCCAAGACATCTACATCTTCCAGAGAGAAAAATAAAAAGCCAAAGCCCCAGTGATGCAGAACAGAGTCCCAGTGTCCATAGTGAGAGTTAAAGGGGGAGATCCTTTTGTACCACAGCATTTGGGGATGTGACTGTAGGACACAGGGGAGGTGGTGGCATCATCCACCCACACTGCCCGAGCAATCACAAGAACTATTCCCTCTCATCTGTCAAGGCTGGAGCCATTCTAAATCACACCTGTCTTCTGGAATGCCATAATTTATACTTATAAAAACACAGATTCATGCAAGAACAGTGGAACACAGCATACTTTTCCGACAGGAATCTTAAAGCGAAATGTGGTGGAGCCCTCTGGGATTTTTGAAAGCATGCTCATTCTCACACTAGAGAAGTGCCCAAATTTGCTCTCTAAACTGGCAGCTCTGGCAAAGGCATCTCAGAAAGAATGAAGTGTTTTCAAAAATGTATCTGTCCTGACTGCATCTGCTCAGAACCTTCCTATACAAAGAAATAAAGGAAGGTCAAAATCTGGAGAGGGTCTGGACTGACATCAGCACTCCTCTGATAACCCTTCTCGGAAGGAAACCAAGAGACATTCACTGGGGAAATCCATGCCAGGAGGAACTGCTCTTTTTCTGCCTTGTGTCTCTTTTACAGCAGCATTCAAGTCAACCCAACAGTTCTTCTCTTACTGCAGTGGAGGAGAGAAAGAGGCCTTGAGTTTACACTGCAGATGAATAAAGGCAGCAAACGAAGCTCTTCACGGGTACAAACCTGCTCATGGATCTGTTACACAGACTCCAGGAGAAGCTGCTGAAACCTCCAGAGAAAGTTTTGCTGCAATTTTGACATTCAGACCGTAGTGCACCTGTTGCCGAACAGTTGTTGAGGTTTTCAGCTGAAGCTTTAGGTTTGTAGTCATTAATACAACATCTGTTTCTGTACCCCAGCTCCCAAATATAGTTGTGTAAGAAGAGACAGGTGCCGGGAGCTGAACTGTTCTTTGGTTTAGCCTAAGGGAAGAGTGTGAGGGTCCAGCCACAGCAAAGCCTGGGAGGTTATTTTCAGTGCTTTGGTGGTAAATTAATGCAGTTGGAGTCTTAATCAAATCTCTCCACGTCTTATCTGGAAAGGCTCAAGGAACAAACAGAATGAATCAAAGTGAGAAAAAAAGAGGCGAGTCCTGGGGGAAAGAGAAAAGAAAGGAGAGGGGGGAAAAAAAGCATGTTCTACCACAAAAACACACCGCTACAATTGGAAAGAGAATTCTTGAGCTGGCCCCAGTGGCCACTCCCTGTGCTGCTAAAGATCAGATGTACGAAGCTGCAATTTTGTCTAGAATTGGAGTGAGTTAAGGACAGGATGGATATCCGCCCACATTTTTTCAGCCTTCACTCTGTCTCCTGACTTTTGTGGGTTTAAGTTACGTTCTTAATGCCGTTTCAACATAGTCATCTTCCGTGCATGTCTCCAAGTGCCACTCAAAGATCAGAAAAGGGGAATATTACAAGAGATGTTGTTAGAAAAGATTGTCATGGGCACACTTACAAGAAATTTCGTTTGCGAAACTAGCGAGTGTCTGTCCAACCAGCACCAGAGGAGGGGTGTCTCACCTTCCCCTCAGAGAGGAAAGATGCTGATGCAGCTCCTGGCTTCGTCCTTGCCAGGTCTTTGGAGACCTGGTTTCATGTACCTCGTACAGAACGTGCTTGTGGGCATATTCAAGAAAAACTCTTGGTTCCCCTGCCTCAGACCTCCGTCAGCTGCATTTTCCTGCTTCCCAGGGATGACAGAAGACAAAAAACCCCCCAAAAATGCAGAAACTGGTACTGAGACCTGTGACTATACCTATGGGAATGTCTGTCTACTCTTCTCCAGGTATCTGATATTTTTCACTTCACTTGTCTCCAGCCTGGGAAAGACTCCACTGTTCTTAGGTATCTCTGTACTCCTGTATTATTTTTTACACTCTCCCTAGCTGCTGTCCATCTTCCTTCACCCCCTCCTTTCCCAACAGTGGCTGTGGTTGTTTCTGTCCTGTGGATGGGAAAAGAGCACTCAGCAGTTCAGTAACTCCCTCACATGTCAGAACCAGCGGGGAGTGGAGGCAGGAGACCACCCCTCATCCTGCCCCCTTCCCTCTGTGTTTGGGATTCTTTTCAGCTGAGAAACTACAACATCTACTGAGGACCAAGCAGAGCAGAGCCAAGGTCCAGTTTGCCTGCCTGGCTTGGGAAGGCTGCCTTTGCTGCCTGGTCCTGGTCCCTCTGAAGGCAGGATGTGCCCCCAGACTGGGCCATAAGCTGGGCATATTTCAGCCTGTAAAATGTCTGCACTGGTCCATAAAGCGTGTTTTGTGTTATTTGCTTCCCTGTTTGTCTCCAGGACTTGCTGCTCTCAAGTCCATATTTCATCTCCCTCAGCACCCACTCAGTGCAGGGAGAGCTGGGTTCACCGCACAAGCCCCAGAGTAGGCAGAGCAAAAGGAGGACAGAAAGGCTGATGGAAGGTAGGAGGGCTGACCCTTGCAGCCAGCTTGGCTGCCAGCGTGTGAGTGCCCAGTCTGCCCTGAGCCAAGGGGGACAGAGGTGTCCGTCGTGTCTGGCCTGTCCTATATTTAGGCAGTGATGCAGAGTCGTCTGAGAGCTACCACGTCCAGGCCTGGAAGCAGGACACGTGCCCAGGCTGAGGGGACAGCTCAAGTTGGCTGGGTCAGGCAGCCGCTCGTCACGCGGTGCTGCCAGCCCGGGGAGCTCGGGGGTAACGCGATCACTGCAGCCAGGGCTCAGCACTGGGGGTTTGGGAGCTATATTGGGAGACCTGGAGCCACGCTAAAGGTTAGAGCAGCTTTCTCCTGTCAATGGAGACATCCAGTCGTTAGATGAGATGAGGAAAACCCTCTTCCTTCTACCTCCCAGCTAATTAATTCAGCACTGGACACAGGCAAAGGCTGCCCATGACCTCTAGCTAGGGAGTGTGTGATATCCAGAATAACACAGACCCACTACTGCCTTTGGGAGGTTTTCTTGAGAAGTTTGAAGGTCTCCACCACCTGTGATGCTGGGTAGGAACTGTTTGTTTTTAAGTGCTTCACCAAGGATTCTCCTATGACAAGTCTTTCCCCCATGGAAACAGCTGCTGGGCCCCTTCCCAGCACTGGGGTGCAGCAGGCAGACCTCACTAATTACCTTGCCAGAGGAAATGAGGCTGCCCCTCATTATTTCAGTGTCTGACACCATCATCACAGGCTGAAGCCCGTGGGTGAAACAGTTGCTCTCGCAGGGCTGGGGATGACTGGGCCAGATGCTGCTGGACTGGGAAGAAGCTGGCAGGAGGCTGGGGCAGGCAGCAGGACATGGAGCAGGAGGGAGGTTGTGGCACTAACAGTGACAGGGGGTGATGGAGGAAGGACTGGCAGCACCGGGGCTCTGAAGGCTGCAGAGGAAGATTAATTTTTACCTGTGTGCTTTGAAGGTGGATTTTATCCCTGTGGCTTGTATATACATTTGGGGATGTCAAGTACCCCACTGGAGTGCCAGGATGAAGATGGTCTTCACAGACATCTCTTCTAGTGTTTTTTTACTTATTTTTACTGAACTCATCACTTTTGAACATGTGGGACTATCGTCTCAAACCAGAAGCCAAAATCACTCTCCTTTCGGTGAAGAATAAAAACCAACACGGTAACACACTTCTGAAATTTCTAGAGGCCAGGCACAAGTTTCTACATCTCTCTTCTTGGTGATAATTTGGAAAAAAGTCCACACCAAAAAAACAAAACCTTGCAAAGCTTTTCTCATTAGCAAAGGTAATCCCTGTTGGGCAACTCAAATTCACAATGTTGGGGGGAAGCCCAGACTGGAAACTGGAACACCGCACACGGATGGGACTAGAGATTTAAGAACAGTGTTTTTATCTACAACGAAAACAGAGTCTGCAGGAAGCTGATTTGTGTTTGTCACTGGAGCCTGATGTTGGTTTTTTCCTCTGTATGATCTGCAGTTCTTTTCTGTTTTAGGGATTTTGGAGTTCATTAGCCTGGCAGTGGGGCTGGTGAGCATCCGTGGGGTGGACTCCGGACTCTACCTCGGCATGAACGAGCGAGGGGAGCTCTATGGGTCGGTAAGTTTGGGGTGTGCTGAGCCCAGCCCTGGAACACCCCCAGCACTGCAGCCTGGGGGCCTCAGCTGTGCCACAAGCTGGGTCTGTCACAGCCTCCAAAGCCCTTGGTGCCACCCTGCCCATGGTGCCACTGCTGGCCCAGCACAGATGGTGGATGTGAGGGGGTGCTCACTGAGGTGTTGGCTGTCAGGAATGGCCTGGCCATGGCCAGATAAAGACGGGGGACATTTAGCATAAAACCAGGAGATGCTAGTGTGTTCTCCCAGCCCCACTAACATCAGTTGTGTGCTCTGCTTGGGCAGGGTCTGCACCTGTCTGCAGATTTGACCTTTGCATTTTGACCCTAACCAACAGAAGCTGAAATTTGGGCCTGAGTGTTTTTGTAACATGCTCTGCAACTCCTTTTAGGAGTTTAGGGCTGCTGTTCATAATTCCCTAGAAGTGCCCTTTTCAATCTAGAATTTTCCCTGTTTTGACAAAAAAACCTAAGTGTAAACTCCTTAAGTGTTATGATTTGCAGTCAAAATGCCAGGTCTTAACAGCTGAGCAGAGGTTCTTCCTACAGGTTAGTTTAACTCAATTCCCAGTTACTTAGCTCAATTCAATATAAGATAGTTATTTCTAGTTAGCTAGAACAATCACTTCTATTTTGAAAACTTAATTGCACTCCAGAGAGCCATTCTAAATTCCATTTTTTGGAGCTGCTGCACTTCACTGATGCTTTCAGGTGCCCCATGGCCTTTAATTCAATCTGTCACCTGTGTGTGATTTTTTTAAAATGTCTCTTTCTAGACCCTAGCACTGCCCTGGGTGAGGATACTGATTTTTAAGGATGGATCACAGTAAATGTAAAATGAAATAAAATAAGCCAGTTTTAAACCAAAGTAGAAGGCACATACTTCCTCTCACCAAATCAGATCAATCTCATAGTGTAAAAATTTAAACTCATGTACTCTGGGTACAGAGAAACCTTCAGAAAACCTCTGCTTAGCAGACAGTAAATCACAAGTTTCCATCTTTCCTTCTCCCATTCCCATCTGAGACTCCCACAGACCCTTTCACTACTTAGATGCAATTGCTGATGTTTATATGAGATATTTGCCCAAAGAGGTCGTGGAGTCCCCATCCCTGGAAGTGTCCAAGGCCAGGTTGGACAGGGCTTGGAGCGACCTGGGATAGTGGAAGGTGTCCCTGCCCATGGAACAAAATGATCTTTAAGGTCTCTTCCAACCCAAACCATTCTATGATTTTCTGATAATCAAATATCAGCATGCACTGATAACTATTCTTTTCCCATCTCATTTCTCTAATAATTTCTACCCTAAACAGACATTAAATGCAGAGACAGTAGTTAAATTACAAGTTATTTATTAAATTACAAATTATAGATAAAAAAGAAAATCACCAGGATTCCATAAAACACAAAAAAACCTGAAGCCCACTTCAGAAAGCAGGGCTGGATCATCACCATTCCTGTCAAATCCCAAGGGTGCTCGGCAGCTCCTGGAGTCACAGTTTTTGCTTGTGCCTGCTGGAAAGGAGGACATGAGATCCCCCTCTCTGCCTTCAAACCCTGCAACTCTGTTTGTGAACTGAGTTTCACGATGGGTTAATTAAATTCTAGAGCCTGTGTTCATGTTACAACACAGGAACAAAAATAGGATAACATTTTACAGCACTGAATCTGGAAACAGAATTGACCTGAAGACATAATCTTGGGAACTGTCCCTGCCCATGTCAGGGGGTTGGAATGAGATGATCTTTAAGGTCCCTTCCAATCCAAACCATTCTGGGATGTTGTGCACCAGGCAGCACCCTGACTGGACACTGCAGGGACGCAGTCAAACTGCTGCTCCAAAGTGTGCCGGAGTCATGAGCCAGGTCCCCAAATAACCCTGGAGTTTTAAAATCTGGGACACGTGGGTTGTACAATGATGGCTTTTCGAACTCAAAAGCCACTACAGTATTCTTAATTAAAGGTCCATAAAACAGCCTGACAACAGCATTAGCATTACAATGGTATTTTGGGACATCACAGTACAGCGGTATTTTAAAATTTTCAGCAAGTTTATTATTTCCCTCTGTGCCAATTTTGCCTGATCCGTGTGTTGATCCAGCCACCCCCACAGCGACACGTGGAGTCCCCTCGGGACACACAGCCTGTCCCTGTTAAACTTGTGCCAACAGTTCTGTGGAGCTTCCCAATGATTTCAGAAATGCCACTAATACTTAGGGCAGCAGAAGTCCCAGGCAGCACCTTGCATGCTGCCTGTATGGTGTCAGGTTCAGTGGGGACATCCCAGGGCTTGGAAAGGAAGAAATCCCACCTGGCAGAGTCACCCCAGACTTGCCAAACATTTTCCACAAACACTGTACTCCAAACTGCCTGGCAAAGCAGGGGTGAGCAGGGGCAAAGCAGCAGCACACGAGTTCAGCCAGTCATCAGGTTCCAACATATTCTGAGTAAATGGCACCCAGGGAGGAGGAAAAAACCAGTCTGTATTTATTGATGCATTGGGGAAGAGAAGCCCATGGTTCCCGGGTCTCAAATGGCCAGGGCTGTGGCCTGGGGCTTTTGGAGGGCTCACGACTTGCCTCAGGGTTTATTTAATTAGCAGCAAAACATTGAAAACAGGTTCTGAGCACAGGTGAACTCCTGGATCGTGTTACAAAACATCTGCTGCAGGCAGGAACATTTACTGAGCACTCTGTGTGCCACGGGTAGGACACATTCCCTGCCTGGGTAGTTGACAGTGTAGTACAGTGTGTGTAATATCATAGCACCCTGCACTGGCAGACTGCCTTTCATCCAAGAGGGCTCCCATGTCCCCCTGGCAGTCTCCCTGTCGGATGGGCTGGGATGCCTGATCCCTCTGTGACCTCTGGCAGAGCGACCCCCGTGTTCTTGTAGGGCAGGGGACACAGCCCTGCTCCCCCCTGCAGCTGGGCACATCCCACAGCTGGCACGTGGAGGTGGGAGGGAGAGGGAAGGAGCACTGAGCATGAAGTAGAAAGGCATTGTCAAAGGGCTGCTGCTGACAGCCCTGGCTGGAGGGAAAGGCTGGTTGTGGCTGTGGTGACATCAGTGCCATCCATCCCCCTATCCCCAGCGTGGGATGTGCCAGCCATGCTCATCACATCACCTGTCACCACTCTATGTCTTCCCTGGGGTCTGACATCCTCGGGGCACAGCTTCCCATCCCTCTGGGTCTTGTTATGGGCTCCCATCAGAGCTCAGTGCCGCTCCAGGAGATGAAACCCTCAGGAATGCTTTCATTCCCATTGCAGCACATAGATCTGTGCCCTGAACTTCCAAAGCAGTGCTTGCTCCTATTTTCCTGGTTAGACCCTTCAGATGTGCTGCCTGCTGCTTTGTCACCCAGGAGAGGGTTTTTGGGATGTGTGGTACCTTGGAGGGGGCTGCTACGTGGGGGAAGGTGGCAGCCCCTGCACAAGACATGTCTCTGCCTGGCAGACGTTTCTGACGTGTCTGCCTGTTTGATTTCTTTATGGGCACCTTTACAAAAGGCACACCCTCCTTCTGCTCCTCCTCCTGTCTCCTTTCTCCTCCAGCTCCAGTGGTCTTTGGGTCCCGGACAGTGCCCATTTCCAGCTCTCAGCCGGGGGGAGCGTCCCCAGCAGCACATTCCCCCTCCTCGGGGGAGCCAGGAGAGGGCAGCCGGGAAAATTATGGAAATATAAAGTAAGGAAGTGGGAAATTCTTTTCTCTTCTGAATTTTCAATAGCAACGTGTCCTTGTTCCCCCCGCAGAAGAAGCTCACCCGGGAGTGCGTTTTCCGCGAGCAGTTCGAGGAGAACTGGTACAACACGTACGCGTCGACGCTCTACAAACACCCCGACTCGGAGCGCCAGTTCTACGTGGCCCTCAACAAGGACGGCTCCCCCCGCGAGGGCTACAGGACTAAGAGACACCAGAAATTCACCCATTTCTTGCCCCGGCCTGTGGACCCTGCCAAAATCCCTGCCATGTACAGAGACCTCTTCCACTACAGGTGATGGTTCCTGCGCTCAGTGTACATACCTGGGCTCCCGAGCTTTTTCCCAGAGCACTATATTAATAGTCATTCCATCATTCCTGTAAGCATAGATGACCTAGGGAAGCACTTACATTGAATTCAGACACTGCTCTTCCTCCTGGTTTGCAGCCTATATCAGACCTGGGTTATTTATGGGGCGGGGGCAGGGGAAGGGAGGGAACCCTACATTTAATCTTTCATTCTCATTCACCTTCTTTACCCGGTTGCTACATGAGAGTCTGAATATTCAGTGTTATGGTTGTTTAAAGGAACAAGCAGGTGAGCAAACCTGATCACCAGAGGGGGGAAAAAAAACCCCAAACCGACCTAAAAATGAAGAGAAGGAAAGAAAACAAAAGATCACAGAACTTCTGCAGATACTGCTGCTGAGCTGGGATGGTTCCCTGCTGAGGAAAAGCCTTTTGAGTGGTGCCCTGCTTGAGCAGCCTGGGGAGTTTGCTACGTGGATGATGCTCTGTGGACTGGTCCTGATGTGTGGGGTTCTTCCTGCTGTTGGGGTGGGAATGGGGCAAGGAACATTATTCAGATGTAAGCATGGATACTGTGCATAAGGACAAAACTATTTATAAAATGTATATGATATTTATTTTATATATTTATTTATTTCAAAATAATTTTATTTTTAATGAGAGATGCTATGACCGGATTTTCATCAGGAAGAATAAGGTCCTACTGAAACAGGAAAAAAAAAAGTTTTAAGAGCTTATTGGCAATAAAATTGTCTTTATATTGTAGATTTCTTGCTAGCCCTTTTTTTTTGGCTCTCTTCAACAATTAAACCAGTATTTCCCCTTCAGTATGGACATTGAGACCACCTCTAAAAGGGCTTTGGATGGTAAAGATCAATTACCTAAGCCCCAAACTACTGTAGAAGGATGACATCAAATTCCAGGAGCCTGGGAAGCGCTGGTGCAGCTCTGGGCAGGAGTTGTGGGCAGCTGAAACCTCGGGATGTGATGCAGCCACTGTGGATTTACTGTCCTGTTCAAAACCAGGAGGAGAAACACCCGGAGCATCTGCTGCCTTTTGGATGGGGCTGCCATTCCTGCAATAAAAGCACCACATCTGTCGTGAGACTTACCTGAAGCACCGTGGAAAATCGGTGAAGAAAAACCAGAAAGCAACAACAGTAATTTTAAACCCCCTCATTTTTAAGCAATTCACTGATGAGGATCATCCCCGCAGGCAGCACGTGTGTGACATTCTCCTCTGCAGAAGCTGCCTGGTCCCACGGGCCCATCGCCTTTGCTCTGCCTCCAGCCGGGCTCAGCCCGGCCCGGGGCAGCCCCAGAGCCGCAGCCCCAGAGCCGCAGCCCCAGAGCCGCAGCCCCACTCGGGTCAGGCCGGGCCGGGGACACTCCCGGGGCAGCACAGGGTGACACCCGCGCCACACGTCTGCCCTCACTGCCTGCTTGGGATGGCACAGAACTGCGGGGAAAGCTCCCAGGAAGGATCCCCGTTTATGTTTTGTCCCCTGTGATCAGCAGACAGGGATTCCAGCACAAGGTGGGAGCGGGAATGTGCAGTTGCAGAGTCGCTTTGCAGCACGGATGGTACCGAACGGGGTTGTCTGGAACGTGCAAAAATCTGAACAAATACACCTGTGGTGGCTTTGGGTTGGTGTTTTCCTTGTCACAACTGCTTTGTTCACAGTGTTGTTTCTCAACCTCCTCCTCACAAAACGGTCAAGGTAAAATCTCAGCTCCTTCAGCTTCAGTGTGTGAATTCCCAGGACGATTTCACTGACCTAGGGGAGGATCCACCCCAGCTTCTTCATGAGCTGCACCACTAAGGGCAGTGGCAGCTGGTGCCCAGCTCTGCTCCCAGCTGTCTCTTGCCCTCTCTGCCACCTCCTGTGTCCCTTCACTGTCCCAGCAGGTCCAGCAGCCACCAGACAATGGGCTGGGGATGGAAACGAGGAGATTATAGGAGCTTTACCTTCAATGATCCAGACATGAAGGAATTTAATCCTGTGTTTGAAATAAAAAGTGTTTATTTAGCTTCTTCCTCTGAGTCACTGCTGAAACATCTCACCCCCAGCCGCCACGCCGGGAGCGCGGTCGCTCACGAGACACGTCCTCAGGTGCACTTTTGACCTTTCCCTGCGTGAAGGGAAATCCCTCTGCCCCCCAGGATGATCCTGCCTCCCTCCAGCCCAGGCTTTCCATTGCACTTGAAGATAAATCTGGTGGTTAAGATCCTGCTCTTTTCCAAAATGAAGGTCAAAACCTGATCTCAGCAATGCCAAATACATTTTCCACCAGCTCAAAGGGAAGATGATGTGGCCCATGGGTGCAACACTGGACTCATTCATCTGATACCTGACTCGAGGAGCTGCTGCAGCAGAGCCTCCAGACACAACAGAGGTGCCAGGGATGCTGTAAATGCCTTTTTGGGATCTGGGTTCAAAAAAACTGATACTTGCAAAAAGCAAAATCCACAAAGAATTTATTGGAAACCCCTTGGTAAAGGTTGGTGTCATCTCCTGTGTGGGCACTTAAAGGGGGAATTCGGCATCGCTAAATCCCACCCAGATGGTTCTTTCACAGGAATCTGCTGGGTTTGGTCCTGGTCCAACCAAACAAAGATGTGAGTGACCTGTCAGACCTGGGAGCTGAACGGCAGCAGAGAGAACAACCACAGACTCCGGGGGCATTTTGAGTGGTGTGGGAGCAGCCAGTGGTGGGCAGGGGGTTCATGTGGACACACTCCCCTCTCTGGCCCATCCCATCCCTGCAGAGGAACGGGCTGTTCTCCCATCCAGCTGTTACCCCACCTGGAGACACCAACTGTCCTTCGGCTCGGAGTGTCCCAGGGCTGGCAGATGGATCCTGCACCAGAGCAGCACACGGAGCCTTGGCCAAGGGGCCTCTGCTCCTGAATTAGCAAAAGGAAATGCCAGTGTTTGTTTGGGATCTCTGTTTGTGTGGTTTCCATATGATTCCAGCTCACAACAGCCAGCTGGAAAACTTCTCCCAAAGGGAAGGCAAAGGCTAGTGCAGGTCCCCAGAAACCCCACGGTGCCCCCACCCCCAGTGCTGTTCTACACACAAAAGGCTGCAGGTCTGGAAACACCACAGCAAACAGGACAAAAGACACCACTTGCAACCCTTCTCCTTCCACCCGAGAGGGGTGGGCATGTTGTACAGGAAACATTATCCTGGGACAACTGTGCAGAGCAGGAGGGAGGTTGGTGCAAAGAGGTGGGGAAGTGCTGGAGTCTCGCTGTGGAGGGCACAGGAACAGGGGAACCTCCTGCCTGAGGCCAACGTGGAGCCAAGCACAGCAACAGTGCCCATCTGCCCGGCTTTGGCACAGGGATGGATTGAGGACACACACCCACAAGTGGCAACATACACATGTCCTCAGGTACATCCCAGGAGAGACCCCACTGCCCACAGGGAGCTCTCCTGGGTGGAACGTGTGGCTTGGGGCTCCTTTCTAAGGAGAGGAGGCCTCAAAGACCTACCTCCTCTGGAATGAGCAAGGGAGACCCCAAAACTGCAGAGGGAATCCAGAAACTTGGTGCTGGAAGGTAGGGAAGGAGCCCTTCTGGTGCTGTCCCACCTGGCTGTGCATCCAGAGACATGTGCTGCAGCTGAGATGTTCCTGAGAGGGCACTTGGGGATGGAGCATTCCTGAAGGAGAAGGGCTGAAATTCCTGTTGATGGGGAGAGAAAGACATCCATAGCCTCTGTGACAGCACTGGTTATTTATTTATTATTTTTTCCCCAAAGCAAGTAATGGCTTCAGAGCTGTTAAATTCTCATCATGGAAAACACCACAGGTGTCACCTCGTGGCCGTGCTGGGTTTGAGCAGGAGCCCTGCAAAACCAAATCCACGAAGGAGTCTCAGGCTCTTCCCTCACAGTACCAGGAGGTGTTTGGCCCCACAATGCCCGTGACCAGGAGGGGCAGATCATCCACCTGCACTGCTGCTCATGGGCACCAGCCAGAACCCCCAGAACACACTTTGTGCAACTGAATTACAGAAGTAGCTGCTGTCCCTGGATCAGGCTTTGAGCAGTGCCCCAGGTATCAGTTACTGTCTCACACTCCATCTCAGGTGGTTTTCGTGCACACCAATCATTAACACAAAGCCAGGGCAGCGTTTGAGATCAGACCCTGGAAGTGGCTGAGTGCAGAAGCTGAAGGGTGACTCCAGCTCTCCCTGTGCCCACCTTCCCTGAGCCCTGTCCTTCTCCAGGGCAGCATCCCCATGTCAGGCCACAGCCCTTTCCCAGTACCCTCTTCCAATCACCCCCAAGCCACCTCCCCCCTGGGGAAAGCAGGAACAGGAGCTGTGACTGGATGAATCCCAGCTTTTCCCCGTTTGCTGCGTGGTGGCTGCAGGCACAGCAGTGACACGGGGTGACACACAGGATGAGTCGCCCATCCCACCTGCACACGGAGCAGGAGCTTCTCCAGACCCTTCCCAGCAGCACAGCTCTTCCCAGGACAGGTTTGGATTGAATCCTGCTGGTGCCACATCTGCAGAGTAGATTCTATAGCACAGAGGGCACACAGGGGGTTATTCACCACCTCAGCAGGTGCCGTGTGATTACATGGCTGGTGCTGCAACACCACCATTCTTCCACACCCCTCAGCTGGGAATGTTTAGGACATTTGGCTTTCCATAAAGATTAAAAATTTATCCAACTTCAAAATTATTTTTTGCTTGAACTGATGAATTCAGTTTTATTTTCTCTGTGCAGTGGTTCTGCTTTCAAGGTAAAACCAGAAACCACTCAGGGTGGGCACTGAGGATGTGACACATCAACACGGAGCCCATCAGCGTGGGAGCAACTCAGCACCTGCTCTGCACAGGGGACTTACCCAGGACAGGGACAGCCACCATCCCACTGCCCTCTGTCAGAGTGTGGAGCCAGGCTGAAAGGCACAGGGATATTTAAGAACACACTGCCCACAGTGCAGTGCCCACAGTGCCCCTCAGAGCACAACCTGATGATCTTCCATGGCCCTTCCTCAGCTTCCTCCCACACCAGCTGCACCCCAAGCAGCACTGTCAGGAGCCACAGAAAACCCCCCAGCACAGGGAACAAGGGTAGGGCAGATTTAAAACACAATCATCACACAATTTTTTTGCGTAGGAAAGAGGTTTTTTTCCTAACAGGTGGGATTTAATAACTAAGGCAGGGAGAAGTACAATTATGAGGCTAAAATATGGCAGTAGGTTGTTCTGATTTGACTAAGTAGAACTTCACCTCCCTTGACCATCTCACTGCTGGGTGATAACTCTCTTCTTCACAGACTGGCAGAAGCTG